CTGGCAACTACATCGCAGCACAACCAACGAGAATAAATATAGAAACAGATACCGAACGTTGGCAAAAATAGTACAAAACAAAGTATATGCTAGGCAACATGAATATTGGGAGGAGTTAAGCATAGACATAGAAAACGCAGTCAAAGTACATGATCCAACAACTGCTTTTCAAATCATTCGTAGACTGCGTGGAAATGGACAAAGTATAAAGCACATACCAGTCCAGGATAAGAACGGCTTAACATTAACTAACAGTAAAGATCAATTGAATAGATGGAAAGAGTATTTTGATAAAATGCTCAATGTTGATACTACAATAAACGAACAAGTTTTACAACAAATTCCAAGTCCTACAGTTGATGATGAAGAACTTTCTCGACAGGATGCTGTACCAACTCTTGATGAGGTTGTAAAGGCGATTGGACAAATTAAAAATAAAAAAGCTCCTGGAAAAGACGGTGTACCAGCGGAACTCCTAAAAGCGGGCGGTCATTATATCGCTGAATGGTTGCATGAAATTATTCGCGATGTATGGGAACAGGAGGTTATGGTAAAGGAATGGACGGAAGCTATTATAATACGACTATACAAGAATAAGGGTGATAAACGAATTTGTGACAACTATCGAGGCATATCTTTACTAGATGTTGCAGGGAAAATCTTTGCCAGAATCATACTAAATCGTATTCAAGCTTCACTTGACAGAAAGCTGATGGAGGAACAAGCAGGCTTTCGTTCTAGAAGATCCACCATGGATCAGGTCTTCATACTAAAAATGGTCATGGAAAGATCAAGAGAGTTTAATCAACCTCTGCACATGTGCTTTATTGATCTAAAGAAAGCATATGATTCTGTTAATCGAAAAACACTTTGGCGAGTGTGTCGAGCATATGGATTATCACAAAAGATAGTTCGAATGTTACAACTGCTATATGAGGATACATCTGCTCAAGTTCGAATTGATGATGATGTTAGTGAAAGCTTTGTAATGAATACTGGTGTGAGACAAGGTTGTATTCTCTCTCCAATATTGTTCAATGTATATATTGATTATATCATGAAACAAATAATTCAACAAGCTAACATTCAGGGTGTCACGTTATCATACCGTCTTGGTGATCTCTGGCTTTCTGGTAGAGGAAATGGTAGTCATAATGTACATCTGTTGACTTTAATGTATGCAGATGATATTGTTGTCATGTGCGACAGTCCAAAAAACTTAGAACATTTTATAAAAGTGTTCGAAAGAGTAACCAATGATTTTGGCCTCACTATGAACATTCAAAAAACATGTACTATGTCACTAAAGCAATTCGAGAAAACAATAGACAAGAATGAAACAGAAGGAAAAGAGAATGATGCTCCATCAAATATCGTCATTCGAGATCAAAATATAGAAACTGTGAACAATTTTAATTATCTTGGATGTAATATAGCTAACGATCAAACACAAGCTAAGGAAATAGAAGTACGCTTAGGAAAAGCTTCTAACGCGTTTAACTCACTTCGTCGTGTTGTATGGTACAGGAAATGTATATCTATTCAAGCAAAAGTTAGAATATTTAAGGCTTGTATTCTACCTGTGTTGCTATATGGAAGTGAAATATGGTGCCTGAAAGTTGTCGAAGAACAACGGCTGAATACATTTTACATGAAATGTCTTCGAACGTTGTTAGGTGTGGGTCGTGGTGACCGAATGAGGAATGATCTAATTCTTGAGTTGACTGGTCAGCCATCCTTAGAAAAGATCTTGAGGAGAAGTAGACTAAGGTGGTTTGGTCATGTCAACCGAATGAACAACGAAGAAGATCACCCAATGTTGCCAAAAAAGGTCCTCTTCTCGTCTTTTGCTGATGCTAAAAGACCTCCACACGGGGTCAAATTAAGATGGAAAGACAAAATAGCTAAAGATCTCACAATGTGTGAGATAAAAAATTGGAGACGAGAAGTTCAAGATAAGGAGATGTGGCGTAAAACAATTAATAAAGAAGTTCAGTCCACAACAGTCCGATCGGATGCAGCACATGTCATACATGAGCATAAAGAAAGAGCAAAAAAACGTCGGGCAGATGAAAGACTTCTTGATTGTAATAAAAAAATGAATACTCCTCCAAGTACAACAACAGTAATAAATGTTGATACAACATGCTCACTATGTGGGCGAACGTTTAAAAGCAAACGAGGTATGAACATACATAAACGAGTATGCATACAAAAAAAGTCAACGAAGGCATCAACTGATACCAAAACAAATGAGATGCA